CGGATCCTCAACATCTTCGACATCAACGGGTCGCAGATCGTTCGATGGTTCAAGCTCGTTAGGAAAACTGTTAACGTCATCCTCGAGAGCTTGAATCTGCACAAGTTCATCTTCGAAAAGATCGATGGTTGGCAGATCGTTGGGTGAAAATTCCACACCCCCGAGGGCTGGAATCTGCAACAGTTCGTCCATAATGTCCTCAGGAAACGACTTCATTGAAAAATTCTTGAGCCGACTCGTTCAAAAACATTCCATCAAACTGCGAGACCGAATCCATTTTTTTTTTCTAATCGCGTAAAATCAAAAAAAAACCTTCTACGAAGAAGTGTTCTTCACAACTGATCTAAGCTCTGCAAGAATTGTGGAGAAGCTCTTTCGAAAACAAATTTCTCCCACCAGACACCCTCGATTTGAGGGTGAATTAATCTCTCTCGAAGCCAAGGCCGGTCCATCTCAGGGTCGAGATATTTTTTCAACCAGGTAGAGACAGGTAGGACAAGTGGAAGCCCTTTTTCACATTCCATTTGCTTTGGGAAAAACAAACAATCATTTCAAACAAAAACACAGGGGTTCTCAAAATTTTGAACAAAAGTCCCTAATTATTATGTATGATAATATTTCAAGGAAGATTCCAGAAGCTCTTGTAAGCTCTCAGCTCTCGCTGCATATTCAGGCTCACTAAATTCCTCTAGAACCACTCTCCTAGCAATGTATTTGAATCTCTGCAAAATTATTGATCGGGGAGCAGCTCTAAACATTTGTCCTTCATGAAAATTTCGCGCAATTTGCACCATTTGTTTTACAACCGGATTCACGCACATATTACAAAAACCCGATTGATTAATTTTATCACAACGGCGCGTATCACATAGCATGCAAAGAAGTTTTTTATTTATGGAATATGGTTTAACAATACCTAGCCGTTGGTTTCATATTGATAGTGTGTTGTCAGGATGGTGGTTGAATGAAATCATATACTATGAAAATATTTCACTACCCTGTGAAGAGCTGATTTTGTAGAGGTCAAACTGATTTTGTCTAATTCAAACCACCTACTATGAAAATATTTTGTTGCCTTGAAAATGGTAGATTTCTCTACGGTTCGAAACTATTATGAAAATATTTTTTTGTTCTTAGAAGGATTACCACCTTCTTGCGGTCCCAGTCCCACACCATATTGTCACTTTGGACCAGCATTCAAAGTCAAAAGTACTCAGCCCATCAGATTTTTTGCGGGGTTACCATAGGCTCGAAGGCTCTAACAAGCGACCAAAACAACTAAACTACAACCAAAGTATTTTGTGGCCCTGAAAAGGTCCGATTTTTGTATGCAAGGATCACATACTTATGGCATATCAGACAATCCACTGTATCAACCATCAGGAAACATGGGTGACAACAAAGGTGACATTTAAGTATAAGATCTGATGGTATCATATATATTACCATCAAATACCGTGACATGTTGATGGATCTTTTCATTCTCATATTTGAGCATTTCGAAATATCTCTGCCATCCAAGCCACGAATCATAACATCTCCTACACGTTATCAGATTATTATGATCCAATCCGGTGATAGGGAAATCAGTTCGTTGCCTGAAATAGAAGATGATAATGATGACCTCCCTTCGATGTCACATGAAATATCTTCATCTGCCATAGTTGATGCCCTTTGCTGTTTCAACAAGAAATGTGCTCTCTATGTGCTGCAAACCCTCTCATATAATAGTGTACCCAGACAAATGTGTTAAGCAATGTGAGGTGATTTATCAATTTTTCAATTTTTTTGAGTGCCTTTTTTCATAGAATCTGGCTCCAAATCTCAGAATAATTTAGTGTATGGAGTTGGGGGGATCCCTAAGGACCATTGAGACACAAAATCAAAACAACAAAAAAACTTGAAATTTCATCGTTTTAGTAACATAATTTTTCTGGCTCCGTGTCATTTGTGCGACAGACGTTTGCGCGAGGGAGAAAAGCGCGATACGAAAAGCGCGAGGGAGAAAACCACGACGGAACAAAAACGCGACTGGATAAAAGCGCGCGAGGGACAAAAACGCGAGGTACAAAAGCGCTACAGAACAAGAACGTGACTGAACAGAAGAGCGAGAGACAAAAACTCGAGGGACAAAAGCGCGAGGAACAAAAACGCGACTGAACAGAAGCGCGTGGAACAAAAACGCGACTGAACAAAAGTGCGAGGGACAAAAACTCGAGAGACAAAAGCGCGACGGAACAAAAACGCGAGGGACAGAAGCGCGACAGAACACAAACGCGACTAGAATGAAGAGCGATGGACAAAAACGCGACTGGATAAAAGCGCGTGGGACAAAAGCGCGAGGAACAAAAACGAGACTGGAATATAGCGCGATTGGATGAGAACGCTCAACTATCTACGAGGAATATAGAACGCTTTCCAAAATACAAGACATTAAGACATACTCAGTGGCTCCGGTTCAAAAGAGCAATATTTGAAATAGTGACATTAAAAAGGCGACATATTTTTAAAGCGATACATCAAAATAGCGATATTCAAAACAGCGACTTATTAAAATAGCGACATTCAAAACAGCGACACGTGAAAAAAGTAGCGACATATCAAAAAAGCGACATTCGAAAGCGTGATACCTTCTTGAAACAGCGACATTGCAGAAGGGCGACATATGTAAAGAACGAGATTTAAAACAGCGACACCAACAACGGCGACCTCTAAGCAAAACAGGGACACAACAAATTGTATCAATAATAATCAAAAAAATGCAGACTACTCAAACTAACCCAAACTAACCCGTTCCCCTAGTGCGATCTTGTCCTCGTAAGTTAGCATTTTATTTGAAAAATAAGATTGACAGTCTTTTTAAATAAAATGCTAACTTACGAGGACTAGATCGCACTAGGCGGACGGGTTAGTTTGAGTAAGTCTGCAATAAAATGCTTACTTATGAGGAATAGATCGCACTAGGCGTACAGGTTAGTTTGGGTTAGTTTGAGTAAGTTTGCAATAAAATGCTAACTTACGAGAACTATATCGCACTAGGCGGACGGGTTAGTTTGGGTTAGATTAAGTAAGTCTGCAATAAGATGCGAACTTACGAGGACTAGATCGCACTAGGCGGATGAGTTAATTTGGGTTAGATTGAGTAAGTCTGCAATAAAATGCTAACTTACGAGGACTAGATCGCACTAGGCGGACGGGTTAGTTTGGGTTAGTATGAGTAAGTTTGGAATAAAATGCTAACTTACGAGGACAAGATCGCACTAGACGGACGGGTTAGTTTGGGTAAGATTGAGTAAGTCTGCAATAAAATGCTAACTCACGAGGACTATATCGCACTAGGCGGACGGGTTAGTTTGGGTTAGATTAAGTAAATCTGCAATAAGATGCGAACTTACGAGGACTAGATCGCACTAGGCGGATGAGTTAATTTGGGTTAGATTGAGTAAGTCTGCAATAAAATGCTAACTTACGAGGACTCGATCGCACTAGGCGGACGGGTTAGTTTGGGTTAGTATGAGTAAGTTTGGAATAAAATGCTAACTTACGAGGACAAGATCGCACTAGACGGACGGGTTAGTTTGGGTAAGATTGAGTAAGTCTGCAATAAAATGCTAACTCACGAGGACTATATCGCACTAGGCGGACGGGTTAGTTTGGGTTAGATTAAGTAAGTCTGCAATAAGATGCGAACTTACGAGGACTAGATTGCACTAGGCGGATGAGTTAATTTGGGTTAGATTGAGTAAGTCTGCAATAAAATGCTAACTTACGAGGACTAGATCGCACTAGGTGGACGGGTTAGTTTGGGTTAGTTTGAGTAAGTTTGGAATAAAATGCTAACTTACGAGGACAAGATCGCACTTGACGGACGGGTTAGTTTGGGTTAGATTGAGTAAGTCTGCAATAAAATGCTAACTTACGAGGACTAGCTCGCACTAGGCGGACGGGTTAGTTTGGGTTAGATTGAGTAAGTCTGCGTTTTCTTGATTATAATTGATTCAATTTGTTCATCACTTATTCTATAGTTCTAAGTAGGACAGCATGATAAACTTTATTAACAAAAGAAACAAAATAAATTAGTTAAAAATACAAATTATGGAATGCTAAGTTTAAATGGTTAAGTTTAAAGCTACTGCTTTAAGGTGATTTTGGACGTTGGAGAAAGGGTATTCTTGGACTAAGTTTAACAATCGAGAATTAACTTGCTTATATTTTGAACTCCTCGCTGGGGTCCTTTATTTGTTGACAGCCATTTCAACAACGTTTTTGTCCCTCGTGTTTTTGTTCCGTCGTGCTTTTGTCCCTCGCGCTTTTATTTCTCGCGCTTTTATACAGTCGCGTTTTTGTTCCGTCGCGCTTTTGCTCTTCGCGTTTTTGTTCCGTCGCGCTTCTGTCCCTCGCGCTTTTGTTCCTCGCGTTTTTATCCAATCGCGTTTTTGTCCATCGCGCTTTATTCCAGTCGCGTTTTTGTTCCGTCGCGGTTCTGTCCCTCACGTTTTTGTTCCGTCGCGCTTTTGTCCCTCGCGCTTTTGTTCCTCGCGTTTTTATCCAGTCGCGTTTTTGTTCCGTCGCGCTTTTGTTCGTCGCACTTTTTGTATCGCGCTTTTCTCCCTCGCGCAAACGGTTGTCGCGCAAATGACACAGAGCCAACTTTTCTCTATTAAAGATAGAAAGCTGAAGTTTTCAGCGATTCTTATTTCACTAGAGGAGCACATTCTCTGAAAATTTCAGCTCATTTGGACTTATAGTTCCAGAAATAAAATCGTGTTAGGAAAATCGGTACGGTTTCAGGGTACTTATGGCCTTTATAAGTTGAAAATATAGAGAAAAATGCTCTAAATTTTTTATATATATTTTTTTTTTCTGATTATTTTCAATCGACTACTACATTAATCTCTTGACAGGGGATTAATACTTTATGTATCAACATTGTGTCCTTTTTTTACAAAATCGGTACGGTAAAAACAGATAATTATTACCTAATAATAAGAGTTCTGTTTTTTAAGATGAAAACACTTGATTCAAGATAAGATAGAAGAAAGTTATTATATGTTTGATATAAATAGGTTTTCGTTTCTAATTCTTAATTAGATACCTAATATTTTGCTTTAAAAAAAAATGTATTTTTTAGGCTGCATAGTGTTTTTAGGATTGGCCTGTAAGTAATCAAAAGCACTAGCTAATTTCACTTATATTAAGATAAAATATCTAGATACCAATTGGGCTGAACAAACTCCAGAAATTATTCCGATTCCTGGAGGAATGACCGGCAAAGGGATCACAACCCGATACTGGGATTGCTCTAAGCCATCTTGTGCCTGGTAAATATACTTTTTCCAGATTTATATTAATCCCGTTTAGGATAGAAAATTTACCTTCAGGAGTAGTCAATCCAGCACATTCCTGTGACATTGACGGTTCCACTATCGTAAGTCCTCATACTCAGTCCAGCTGCGATCCAAAAGCAGATCCTCCAGTTGCATTCATGTGCACCGACCAACAGCCTTGGATTGTTAACTCTACTTTGTCTTACGGCTTTGCCGCAGCTTCATTTGAAGGTAATAATTTTGAGTTTGGATATACAATTACAACATTTTTTAAATTTAAGGTGGTGTTGATGAAAGCAGATGTTGCACCTGCATGCTCTTGTCTTTCCAAGGACAATTAGCTGGTAAACAGCACTTAATCCAAATCACCAATACCGGTAGCGACTTGTCACAGAACCAATTCGATTTGTCTTTACCTGGCGGTGGTGTGGGGCTTTGTACAGTTTCTTGCGCCAGAATGTTCGGATGTGAACCGACTGGATGGGGCGAACAATACGGTGGTATCAGCAGTTTGGAGGAGTGTGACGATTTGCCAAAAGTGCTTCAGCCAGGTTGTAGATGGCGATGGGAGTTTATGGAAGGCGTTCCAAATCCTGAAGTTACTTTCCAAGAAGTGCAATGTCCGAAGGAAATTGTTAATGTTTCAGGGTGTTATTAGTAAACCTCAATAAAACCAAAAATGTCTTTCATATTGTTTGTCCATTTGAGCTCACATTTCTGCGCTTTCCATGGTATCATATTCCAGGATATCTAACATTATTAGTATCTCTGTGATACAGTAACGTCAAATTTCAATAAATGTCCATCCTTTGTGGAGTTTGCCAATGATTTTGAATATTCACCATGTACCTAAGACAGAATAGTTTCTATTCACAAGGACTAAAAACTGCTAAAGTAATACTAATATCATTGTTCACTTAGAAATCATAGGAAAAGTTATTGAAGTTAAATTGATGAGACATTCCCTATTATGATGAGAATCAGTATGGTTTTCTTAGAGACTAACAGTGAAAATCTTCTAGATTATCTACTTTTCAGAATTCAAATAAACAGTATCCACTCTTCTATATTAAATAGTCTGAAATGTATGAAGCAAAACTCAGAGTTTGCAGTTTTTCTGTTAAACCGAGATAATTTAGAAGCAAAAAAAACCGGAAATAAATGATGAATTTCCACCATTGACGCATCTGTCATTATTAAAAACAAACAGTAATAATGCCTCTGGTAAAAATCATCAAACTAATCCTCTCTTTCATGGATCATCAAATTCATTTTGTAGGACTTCACGTATCCGACTGCGGTTTTTTGCATCATCGCCACCGAGTTTTGCGAAAGGTTTTCGTTTTGCGGCTTAAGAAGTAAGTACCACAACTTACCACCATTTTCACCCTACCAATTAAATTGTAGCTATTTTATCGCTGTATCTGAGAAACATTTTGCTGTTCAGTGAAGATGCTGCTACTGTAATTTACCACATTTTTATTATGGTATGTTACATTATACCTTTGGTGGGTGCGGTTTGTGCAGATAGTTTTCTTGGCAGATACAGGTAGGAGTTTCACTTACTTGTAGCCTGAAGCTATTAAATATACCTAATATTTGTAGAACTATAAGAAACTTTTCTTTGATTTACCTTATGGGTAATGTGGTGTTGTGCATTGCGGCTGTACCTGTATTAGACCATGATCCAATGTAAGTTAAAACTAATTTTTTTTTCTAAAAACTGTTTTAGTGTCTTTTCATTTGTGGGGCTGTTGCTAATAGCTATTGGTACTGGTGGTTTGAAACCTTGTGTAGCAGCTTTTGGAGCTGAACAGTTTCGCCTTCCGGAACAAAGCGAGTTTTTGAGGTAAAAATTCATTCAAAACCAACACAAAAACTATGAAAATGATTATTCCACAGGTACTTTTTTTCAATATTTTACTTTACCATCAACTTTGGAGGCTTGGTAGGCATGATAGTGACGCCTCTTATGCGAAAAGCCGCTACCTGTTTTGGTGACGACACTTGTTATGCGCTAGGATTTAGTTTTCCCGCCTTATTAATGGCGATTTCGATTTGTAAGTACATTGGCCAGTTAGTTTATTGTATTGCATTTTCAATTTCAGTGCTATTTATATTAGGAAAAACATTTTACAAGCTGAAAACGCCTAAAAGGAATATTATTTTGGAGTTTTCCAAGTGTTCCTGGGTAAGTTAAACCTATAAGTGGTAAGATTTTATATGGCTTTCTATTGAATGCCCTTGAATATTTCCCGAAAACTTCTTTCTGAGGATTTTAATAGGGACTTCAAAAAAGAGTATCAAGCTCATGAATGAAAGGCTATAGTTAAAAAAAATTGACGTTTCCTTTTAATATCTGAAAAGGGGTGTAGTCATGACGTGCTGAATGAATACTCTGTTGTTATAGTTCAAAATCAATTAATTCTTGAATTGTTTTGGTATGATGGTCAATTCGTAAAGCTATAATGCTTTCTTTTATCGTCGAATGAAATCTTCCGATCGGCGAGTTTGAATTTGGATTGTACGGTGTAGTAAAATACAATTCAATCTTATATGTTTTACAGAGGTCTTGTATTAGATTACTCTTCAAAGTTTGTGCATTATTAGTGGTAATTTCACTTGGTGTACCATGATGCGCAAAGAATTTTATTAAACTTTGAAAAATCTCTATCGATGTTTCATTTACCGGGTATGCTGCGGCCAATTTAGAAAAATTGTCTATTATCGTTAAATATGTCTGTCCTGACAATGAGTATATGTCCATATAAATATGCTCAAGGGGTTTAGATCCCGTTGGTGTTAGTTTATAAATGACTTTGTAAGGATGTCTCTCGTATTTTGATTTCTGACATATTTCACATGTATTTACAAAAGTGATTACGTCTCTTTCTAGACTAGGCCAATAATATCTTTGCTTGATATTCTTGATATTTTTGGTCATTTCTCTATATGTGAAGTTTTTGTTGTATGGTATCTATCTATTATCTCTTTTTGATCATCTTGATTTGTTACATCTTCTAGTAAAGTGTTTGAGATGACTAGTTTGTATGAATTGTTTTTGATTGTTTGCTGGAAAATTCTTATTGTTACGATAACGCCGCCAGGATGTCAAGAAGGATAATTATCGCGTGTACCTATTCTAGATTGTATATACATGAATAGATTTAGGGATATATAAAGGCCGGTGTTACTTTGTAGTTTTAAGTTTAACTGTTTGACTGTGATACGATTTAAATAGTGATTATTGTTGCGAGTTGTAAAAAGTTTAATTGTTGAGTTAGTTGTTTAAGTAATTAGTGTCAGAGTGTATAGTTAAGTGAAATAAACTATTGCTGTGTTAATTGGACTTTGATTTTAGAATAAACGAACAACGAACCCAAGATTTCTGTCGCGCACACCAAAGTCGTGACATTGGTGTCAGAAGTGAGGCATAAAGGACTGCAAAGTGAAATCCAATTGCAGAATAGTGCGGGACCACTAGTGTAGTGTGAACACTGAACACTAGGACAGTTAGTCAGTGCAAACAGTGACAATCGCGAAAAGAGACAACCGATCGTGTGAATTACTCCGGAAGTGACTGTATACCTAACCGATTTTGACTGTGATAGTGAATCGGAGTGAGTTCCAGATAATACTATTTGGAAACTAAAGGAGATATCAAATTTGTGACTTCACCGACGTGTTTGTTATATCAATCGACATCCAGAAAAGACATTTCAAGAAAATTTTAGAACACTCTATTCGGGAATAAAGCAAGTTATCCAATTTGTGACTTCACAGACGTGTTTCGAATTTCAACAAAAGACTAGGGAAGATATTTGAAGAGAGTTTGAGAGAAATTCCAGAACATTTTCTATATGCCTATCACAAAACAACAAGCAAAAATGGTACGATATTCGAGAAGTTTAAAACGACTTTCAGGAAGTAATACCTGAGTTCAAAGCAGATGTTTAGCAATTAAGACAAGAAGTTGAGGATCAAGTTCAAGCAGTTCAAGCACTTGAAGATAAGGTGAATAAATTAGAGCTACAGTCCATCAATCCAGTTAGTGTTGGGGCATTCTCTAGTATGAACATAAAACCACCAACTTTTGACGGTTCTACATCCTGGACCATGTATAATGTATATCCGAAAATTTGAGGCTGTTGCAAATACCAACGGATGGAACGACCAAAAAAAAACTACAGCCAAGGGCGTCCATAGAACATTTTTCAGGGGGGCAAAAACCTGACTTATTTTTATTTTTTAAATAAGACCATGTATATACACCGCCTGAGTTCAGTGGCACCGAAAACACCAAGGAAATAAACCAAAAAATTATTAGGGAAAAAATTCTTGGGTTTCATGAATAACCACGCCACTGGTGCTGTCGTTCAGGCTCTAACCAATAGAATCATGCCTCTGAATAATCACGCCTCTCCGCTTCCTTCATTTCGTAATGTTGCCGGATTTTTTCCTATTTCAAAATACTACATGGCTCATATTGCAAAAAAAAACAATATGTCACCAACTTGTTTATTATGGTTTCTGTCAAGTTTGGCATAACAGCAAATTCTTTTTGAGTTCGCCGTTTGGCTAGCCAGACTATATGTAGGTAACCATACGTATATTACTGAATCAACTCGAGCAGTCTACTAAACTATACTCATTTGTTATGACGTCATTTTAAAAAACAAACACGCATGGCACAGACAGAATGTCAATTTGACAATTATTATTTATAATAATTCTGGAGGTAAGAAAAAAAATATCGAATTCCTAGACTAGATGCTTAGAAAATAAACACAAAATTTGAATGGTAGCATCATGCAACAATAATAATCGCCAGGTTAGGGGGGGCAAGTGCCCCATTTGCCCCCCTTATGGACGCCCCTGGCTACAGCACTGAAAGTAGCGCTGCGAGGACCTGCCTTAGACCTTCTTCAGTCCATTCCTTCAGTCTACCAACAGAATTACCAGCATTTAAGTCAGACGTTAGAATTACGCTACGGAGACCAATACAGGCAAAAAGTATTCAGAACTCAAGTCAAATCAAGAATTCAAAAACCCGGCGAGAGTTTACAAGAATTCGAATCAGAAGTTAAATGGCTAGTGAGTTTGGCGTTTCCTGCAGCTGGGAAAGACATAGCGAAGCCCTCGTTCGAGCATTGGAACTAGAGGCAATCTTTGGTGCCTCACAACCCAGAATACGAGTAGTGTCCATTGAAAGATTCAAAGAATAAATAAGAGTTTGGTTCCTCTTTCGATCCTTCTATGAACATCCTTAAATTTGGTAATGAAGAATTTGTCCTAACTACACAAGAAGAATCCCAAACCGTTAAGATCCTGGCCACAAACCTAGTGAAGATTCCTGGAAGTACTGAGAAGATCATTTGCGGAAAATTGGAAACAAACCCTGGGTGCTGCGTTGGACTAACACATAATTTTATTGGAGATAAACCAGAAAGATTTCTTGTTGGAAAGACTATAGTAAGAACAAATGGAGACATTATGATAAGAATTGCCAATGTTTCTTCCGAAACAGTGAGAATAAAAGAAGGAGACATTATTGGAACTCTCGAACCAGTTAAGCAAATATCGAACTGTGACCTACCAGATAAGCGACATTTTGTGAAATCGAAAGTGGATACAGACACCTTGATGCAGACTTTGGCGAAATCATGGAAACATCTCGATTCAGATAGACTTCAAGAAGCCACAGATTTCCTCTTGAAAGAAGCAGACGTATGTGATGGATAATCAAACCGGACGGCCCAGCTTAATTCAACACAAAATTGATACTGGATTCGCGCACCCAATAAGACAACCACCACGACGTATGCCAGTAGCTAAGCAACAGGAAGTGGAAAACCAAATTAATAAAATGCTTCAAGAGGGAATCATTGAAGAGTCAAATAGTCCATGGTCTGCGCAGTAGTATTGGTTATAAAGAAAGATGGGAGTCTTAGATTTTGTGTGGACTACCGAAAGTTCAACGACGTCACCAAGGACAGCTTCCCTCTCCCGAGAATAGACGATACATTAACAACTCTATCGGGCTCCAAATGGTTTTCTACCTTGGATCTCAAAAGTGGATACTGGCAAGTGGCAATACACGAAGATGACAAAGAGAAAACTGCCTTAAGTACCGGAAGCGGGTTATACCAGTTTAACGTAATGCCTTTCGGATTGTGTAACGTTCCAGCTACGTTTGAGCGACTGATGCGAGGCCTTACATTGAAGGAAAACTTGCCTGGTATATTTAAATGATGTCATGATCATGGGAAATTCATTCCAAGAACATCTCGATAACCTGATAGAAGTAACGCGCGCATCGCTAGCAATTTATGTTTACGAAATTTAGTCAAGAAATTAGTGATATTTTTGGTATTTTCAAATTGAATAAAATAGAAATATAAATAAAAATACATTCTGTACATAAAAGTAACAACAGTGAATAAATCATAATTTAAATCAGGGATATCAGAAATAAATAAAGATTCAAAATATATAACCTGCAAAAATGGCGATCAGCTGTGCCAAGTGCAAAACAAACTGAAGAGTTGCGCTGATATTAGTGCTACAGAAATAAGGGCACTAATAATATCCTCAAGAATAGTACTTTTCGTCTGCGAAGACTGCAAAAACTCCATTAAGCAGGTGCCAACACTAAAGGATGATATACAGGAAATCAAGAAGGACATTGGGGAGTTGAAGGATGCCATCAAACCTGGAGGCACTACCTATGCAGATGTGGTTAAAACCTTTGAAAAAGAAAAAACAGTCACTAATGTAGGAGGCCTTAGCGAGTTTATCAAAAATTTTAAATGAAAGTTCACTCTGTAATCAGTAATAGCCACTTTTTAATTGGGAATAATTGATTGAAAATTGACAAACTTATAAAATTATCTGTCTCTGTGCTCTGGGACAACCATGGGGACAACTGCTGTCAACTACCTTTTCACGTGTTGCTGGTCCACGCAATATAAATTGATATCCTGGAGCATAGAAAAGTGTCCTGGAGGCAAAGCCTACACTAAAAAAAGCGTTCAAAGAGCTGGAAAATAGGTTAAAGGAAAACACTAGGAAGCAAATACCAGATTTGCACTCATTAGATGGTATCAAGGAGGACATTAGAAACCTGGAAAGCAAAGTCATTATCAAGGCAACTGCGAGAAACTCCAATTTTGAACCAGCACTGTACGAGCT